TGTGTGTGTGTGTGTGTGTGTGTGTGTGTGTGTGTGTGTGTGTGTGTGTGTGTGTGTGTGTGTGTGTGTGTGTGTGTGTGTGTGTGTGTGTGTGTGTGTGTGTGTGTGTGTGTGTGTGTGTGTGTGTGTGTGTGTGTGTGTGTGTGTGTGTGTGTGTGTGTGTGTGTGTGTGTGTGTGTGTGTGTGTGTGTGTGTGTGTGTGTGTGTGTGTGTGTGTGTGTGTGTGTGTGTGTGTGTGTGTGTGTGTGTGTGTGTGTGTGTGTGTGTGTGTGTGTGTGTGTGTGTGTGTGTGTGTGTGTGTGTGTGTGTGTGTGTGTGTGTGTGTGTGTGTGTGTGTGTGTGTGTGTGTGTGTGTGTGTGTGTGTGTGTGTGTGTGTGTGTGTGTGTGTGTGTGTGTGTGTGTGTGTGTGTGTGTGTGTGTGTGTGTGTGTGTGTGTGTGTGTGTGTGTGTGTGTGTGTGTGTGTGTGTGTGTGTGTGTGTGTGTGTGTGTGTGTGTGTGTGTGTGTGTGTGTGTGTGTGTGTGTGTGTGTGTGTGTGTGTGTGTGTGTGTGTGTGTGTGTGTGTGTGTGTGTGTGTGTGTGTGTGTGTGTGTGTGTGTGTGTGTGTGTGTGTGTGTGTGTGTGTGTGTGTGTGTGTGTGTGTGTGTGTGCTTGCGTGTGTGCATGTGCACACATGAGTTTGTGGGCCCTAGAACAGATTTAAGGGTTCTGTGATATCACTACAAAAAGCCCATAGCTGTGGAAAGCAATTCTTTTTTACAATTCTAATGTTAATAAATTATAATGATTTCGTGCGTTTAAAAAAAGTAAGCAAAGGACTCTTTTCCATGCCTTCATTCGCTGGTCGACTTTACTTCCCAGGACTTTACCTAGTATCCATTTAGGGCTGGGTCGACCTGAGTGCCAAGTTTATATTAAACAGTATGGGCTTCATGACTGATCTGTAAAAGAAGCAAAAAAGAGCAAACAGCAGGTCTTAACTTATCAGGAAACATTGGTCCAGAGAGCTTTCATAGCTCACAAATAAAATCTGGTGTGTCACCATTACTGTAGTGATGTTTTCCATGAGTATACCACTTGCCCCGTGACCTAGCGGGCAGATGCTCGCGTGGGGATCGGAAGGTCGTGGGTTCGCTCCCTGGCGGAGCCGGACTTTTTTTTTCTCTCAGGTCGACCTAGCCTTGAGTGGGTTCCCGATGCAATCCTAGGAAGTAAAGACGGACGGTATGATGCTGACATCACCCATCTTGTGCCGATTAATCTATAAAAATATTAGTCTAGCCCTATATGCCCTATACGCCTAAAGGCGTGGAAAAGGGGCCTTTACTTATTTTTATACCACTTGCTAACAACTGTCCTTCTCCCCGGTCAGTCAGGTTTGTTCCCACGTCAGCGGTCATCTTAAAAACTTCATAAACCTTACAGCAAGTCAGTCTGTCACGTCTTTCTGTCCACTATCCCGCCGGAATTTAAAGAACTGAAGTCAACTAGCTACTATTATCACACGCGCACACATACACAGATTAATCAGCAGTTCCGACACTAACATGGAAAATTGTATCTGTCTGATTTAGCTTTGACTAAAACACAATAGACCACGTCCTGTTAACATGCAACCTATATTGACATGACAGAAAACCCTTGGAAGACTATTTTCTAAAACTAAATAAGTCATTGACATCCAAAGAATGCTTACACGTTGACAGCAATGAGAACATATAGAAATAAGTAGAGAAGTTCATTTGCAGGACATGTAAAAATATGTCTCTATAGATGAAAATATTAGACAGAGAGGGTGAGATAAGAAAAAGGAATTGAGGAAGGTAAATAATAAAAGAGAAGGAATTCAATTAGGTGAAACAATCTAAACTGGCCAAGAATGCCTAATTATCTCCTTACAATGGTGGATGGTAGGAATGTGTCACATATACAAACCAAAACACCCAAACTAGTAACTAGGGCGCAAATAATAGAAAATGAGCAAAACTATAGGTTACATCATATAGTGCTGAGTAGATCTGGGAACTAGGGACATATATTTATTTAAAAAAAATAAAATCTGGCTCCATCTTGATTTGAACCCATGACCTTCCGATCCACCAGCGAGCGTCTGGCCGCTATACCACGGTGAATCCCTTAAGTATATGTGTGTAAATACGTATACATGTGTGTGTGTGTGTGCAAACATACCTGCATTCCCACGTAGGCGTGTGCGTGAGTATGTATGTATACGTGTGTAAATGCCATATGTATAGGCGCATTCCCAAGTGAGCCTGCAGACGAGTATGTTACATGTATATATATATATATAAACAGTACATGTATGTCTATATATATGTATGTGTGGTGTGCATAGTGCATACCAGACCCCTCCCCAACAACCCTCACTAGGTACTAGAGTGTTAACATTTTTTAGCCAACATAATTGGCACAAAGAAAGCAGACCACAATTATAACCGATACTGTCCACAGTAGGTAGAACATGGTTGATTTTTGGTTTTGTTTTACATAAATGGATGTATGGATGGATGGTTGCTTTGGCAGGGTCAGACCAAATGATTTCATAGGAGGCTCAGAGACAATATATTTCAAAGGCTGAAAAACCAACCCACAAATGATATGTATATCATGGGATTCCTGCATACACATTGCTAAATCAGCACCCGTGCTACAAAGTTTGTGCACTGTGTTGTGTATGAGCTTGAATTATGTTTTATTTACAGACATATCTGTGTGCAATTAACTGATCACCCACAGAGACACATAGGCAAAACCAAACAGTAATACACAAAATACAGCCTTTAATTCCAGATCATAGGAGTACAAATTAACGACATCATAGACAGGATAACCAGGCAAAAATAATATTCACCGTGGCAAATAGGAAATATACATCAGATTAGCAAACAACAAAAAAACAAGCCTAAACTTCTACTACAGCTAATCTTGCCAGATTTCATTACCCTCTCATTTTCAGATAATAGTATTGCACTGTGTCATGGGATTGCACCGAAATGAATTCCATGACATAGCAGCTGTTCTTATTATTCTTCTTCTTCTTCTTTCATTCGCTTGAAATAGATTATCTATATCTGCAATGCTGTCTCTAGTATAACTTCACTGTCTGTTGTAATTCAGTCAGCAACCCAGAAAGTTTGGCTTGCACCATTGTTTCTAGCAGATGTGACTTACAAGACCAGCTTGCAAAAAGACATGTATTCTATTATAAGTGCATAGGATTTTGGGGTCATTCTGTTGTATTTTCCTAAAACATTCAGCTCTTAAGCTGTCTGAAATCAAGTTCATGTCTTCATTGCCTTCCTGATCTTTCCCTTCCTTGTAAGATGACCAACTGCATCCTGATCCCATCTCATATATATCTCATTTCCCACATCTTTATACCGAAGTAGATACAGCCACTTGTAAAGCTTTCCTTGGGAACTTCCCTATCATCCAGGTGTATTCTAGCCATTTCAGCCTTCACAGACTGAGCATTGAGAAAACTGTTGCATCCCCTGCTCTTTAAAGGTTAAAGTCGAGAGGATCGACTCCATTGCACTGGATTTTATCCCATGCGGCTCAATCTCTCTCTGCAGAACAACCAGCCACCTGCTGAGAGTGCCGCACAGAGCACAAACTCTGGTGCTCAAGCGACTATCCCCAGTGAACTCTGTAAAAAGTGTGTGAACTGAATGGTGCAGCCATGAAATGAACCCACAACCTTCAGAGCGTGAGACAAAAGGCTCGACCACTTGGCCACGTAGCTTTGCCACACCTCAGTGTGTGTGATCTTGTCTTGCCACCTAATGCAGAGTAATCTTCACAGGTATCACATGTGAAAACTACTTAGCCGTTTTCCCTGATACAAGTAAGTTTTACAAGTTTGACCACTTCAGAGATGAGTGCTCAATATATGCTTGATAGACAAGAGATGTAGTCAATACAGTGAATGTTTACAATAGATCACAGATGGCATGTCTTCGGCTGTTTTACTGCAAACTGAAAAATTTGGCTGCATTTTTTTTTTTTTTTTTATCTCTGTGTATGACAGGGAGAGAGAGAGAGAGCCCAATGTAGCTGATAAACACTTATAAGGCATTAAAATCCACTTCCTTGTGACTGAATATGTTAGAAACTCTGTGAGAAAATGGTCAAACAGTTTGCCGTCTTTATCCTGAAGGTCATAGGTTTGTTTCACGGCTGCACCTTTCAGTTCACGAGCGCAACTTTTACAGAGATCCCTGGGGATCATCGCCAAAGCTAGGTAGTTCGTGCTCTGTGTGGTGCTTTAAGCAGGCCACTAGCTGTTCTGTGGAGAGAGACCAAGCCATATGGAATAAAACCCAGTGCAATGAAGTTTATTCTCTTGACTTTAACCTGTGTATATGGGTGTGTGTGTGTCTGTACACATACATACATATATATATGTCTTATTTACAGACATATCTGTGTGCAATTGAACTGATCACCCACAGAGGCACAAAGACAAAACCAAACAGTAATACACAAAACACTGTCTTTAATTCCAGATCATATGAGTACAAATTAACCACATCATAGACAGGATAACCAGGCAAAAATAATATTTACCGTGGCAAATAGGAAATATACATCAGATTAGCAAACAACAAGAAAACATATATATATATATATATATTATCTTTAAGATACCTGTAATATGTATAATTTTTAATGTCTTTCTGCAGTACCACATCAGACTATAATTGGCACTATTAGTTCTACAACTCTGTGCTGTCTGCTGAAGATGTAGAGTTTAAGGGAATGCCCCGAGTGCTGTGATGTCAGTTGTTACGACTCAGCTCTAAAGGACATCAGTGTATCCTGTTTGTTACATTCAATACTGCCTATTTCTTGTGCTGCAACAATCTTCCACATTTACTGTAACATACAACTGTTACCACTCCACAAAATAATAAAACAAATATATAAGCATATAAGCTTCCACTACATGTATACAGGCATCTGACCTCTTCCAGAGTCTAATTCTGGGGTACAGGAATGTAATAGACCATTTCATTCTTAGGACAGTCCACGAAATAGCTGTGTGATTTGCTGACCTGGACAGTACCTTCTTGTGAAGGCTTCTCGCTTTCAAAATAGATATTTAACTCTGTCTTCTGGACATAATTATCCTGGCTTCTGAGATGTCTGTAGGTGGAATGGCTGGGTTTCGGACAGTCTTGTAGACTTAATGTCTTGTCATAGCACAGCCAAACTTGGTCTAAGTAGTGTTTACCTTCCTGCAGTAGTCAATGGAAAACAGATAACTGGCATTAGTTTAACCTGGTTAGATTAATTTACAAATGGTATCTCACTGATCTCCTCCTCCTCCTTTGTTTACCGGCTGAAAGTTCAGGTGGAAAGTCCTGGTTGTTCGTCCATTTGGACTTTGCCTTTAAACCAGGGCCTGAGTTTTGCGTGTACATCCACTTTACTGACATATTTGTGTGCAGTTGGTTTTTCTTTGCCACTCAGGCAGATGTACTCCAACAAGCATATGATACCAGTCCCATATTGGTATAGAACAGTTGAACTGCAGAGGTGATGTGATCACCATCACAATGGCCAACTTTTTCCCCGGGAGATTTCCTGTACCCATTTAGACTGGGTCAGTCAAGCAGCTCTAGTTAAATTACAAAAACTCACCTTGGTGTGATTGAATTCAAGACCCTCAGCCAGCAGGCATACATAAATAGTTTGAGAGTTTGTTATATTATTTAATTAAGATAGTATCAATGTTTAAAAAGTCTCCTTTTTGACAGTTTACACAAATAAAGCTTATATTTTAGTGAACAGTTAAGTAATTTAAATATTGATTTACAGACAGACATAAAAATTCTGTGCATTAAAACTAACAATAGTTTGCAATTTCTTTCTATGAAAGTAGTGCTGATACTAGGAGGATTGTTCTAGCCAATGCGCTTATAGAGGTATTTTCTGCCTAGCACAGTTATTGTATTGGCTAGTTCTGCAAGGATATCAGTGTCTGTGGCTTAGACCTTGTAAATGTGCTTCATAATTTCATGGTGCTGGGTTCGATCCCAGCTGTGAGTGATTTGGCAGCAAGCAGCCTTGCGTCACTTTTAGCAGTGGTATTAAGTCGACCATTCAAGAAGCAATGGCAAATTACTGAATGTAAAAATTGTCTAGTGAAATCACAAACAGCCAAAAGATGCTTAGGTTGGTTCTGCTGTGTCCTTTAACTAACTGTTAGATCTGTAAACTTTTCAGACATGACTAACAATGCCATATTGAATGGACCCCCCCCCCCCCCCCCCCCCCCCCAAAAAAAAAAATTAGAAATGTACATGTCTTTCTGTATATTTGTAAATCTCTACTTCAAAATTTCATAAATGATTCTTTAAGTTCAGTATGCTTCATTTATGTTCAGAATGTCTCTGCCTTAATCAGTGTAATCACTTTGTAATCTAACCTAACAGGATAGATACCAAGCTAAAGATGTCCCCATGTGGGATGCAATTTTTTGTTATTCGAAGCTCCACCATGGCTTCTGCCGGGGACCCTGAATATAGCCGGGCTATAAATATGGCCTAACGGTTGAACAGGGCTTTTTCGGATAACATACTTGCATATAGGCAGGGTGAAGAGAGGGAGCAAACAGCCCGGGAGCTACAAGTGACAGTAGACAAAGTGACTGAGTGGTGTACAGAAATGAGGGCTGTCGTCCATCCGGAAAAGGTGTCTGTTTTGTGGTCTCTGGACAACAAGATTGTTAGAGCTAATGTCCCAAGTCTCACGATAGATGGTAGAAACATCAACTGAGAGAGCAAACTGAAGTATCTGGGAATTACATTTGACAGGAGCCTGTCATTTAAAGACCATGTAGAGAGTGTTGTGACAAGATGCCAAAAAGGACTTAGTGCACTTAAGACAATGGCTGCAATTGACATAGAGCAGAGAATGCTTTTCACACTATATCAGCACCTGACTGATCCTGTCAGTGGCCTGGGATTGCTTACCGTCTCAAAGAGTCAGATGGACAAACTAGAACAGAACACAGCTATGTGGGTCATTCTTAGTTGCACCAGAGACTCCCAGTGGCATATATGCGATACATCCTTGGTTTGACGACTGTTGCAGGTAGGCACAAGGTGCTGCAGGTGAAGTCATATCTCAAGGTAGCTGCAGACACAGACCACCCTTTGCACGAAGCTCTTGGCGCAGTTAAGGGTCAGAGGCTGGTGAGAGGGAAGTCATGGATGGCTCAGGCAGGATACAATCAGACAGGTTTGCATCCTTGAGAACATTAGGCGAGGAGAGGAGTGGGTCAAAGTGCCACCTGAACAGTCAGACTTATTTAGGGTCATAATCACACTGAGCCAGAAATGCAGAGACTGGCTAGCAGGTGCCACGGAGGTGGAAATTCAGCAGTTAATTCAAAATAATGCCCGCTCAGAGGATTTGATTATTTACACAGACGGTTCAGTGTCAAGAGGCAAAAGAAGTGCTTGGGGTTTCTTAGCAAAAGTTATTAGTCAACATTTGGTGCAGAAGAGCCTAGCATATGATACCACAACATCCAGCTTAAGAATGGAGGTGGAGGCGGTCACTGCAGCTTTCCGCTGGTTGGAGAACATGACACACACACATCGTGATTGTAACTGATTCAGAAAGCATGCTGAGGAAGATCAGAACAGATATGCTTTGTGCAGAGTGACATGCTTCGCTGCGGAGGACACCGGTGAGGAGTATTGTCTGGATTTTTTTTACTGGGAAGCGCCAGTGTGTTGGGAAATGAACAGGCAGACAGACTGGCTGGCTCTACACAACTTCGGTGGAATACTGATGCATAATAAGGCATACACAGTTAGTGCCTTGTGGGAGAGCGTGTACAGTTCGGAGAAGCAGATGGATCACCACAGTCTGGTGAAATTTATGCAGGGGGAGTGACGAGAGGTTCTGGCAGATGCTCAAGGTTCAGAAAAAAGGCAAGATGGGCGTTTAATCAGAATGCTACTGGCACCATTGGTATCGGGACTCTTCACATTCTGCTGAAGATGGGGATGGAGTGCTTATGGGAATGCCCTGAGTGCTGTGATGTCGGTTCTTGAATCAACTCACCTCAACTTTCTTGAACTGACACCTGTCTGTGTCATGACAAAACGCTGTTTAAAATATTCTGTTTTTGTTTTTCAACAATTCTTTGCACTGTCATAACACATTCTGATTTAGCTTTTGCACATGATGTTCACAAAATTATGTTTCCATATTTTTATTTATTGTAGATAGTTTTGCAAATTTAGGTTTAAACTTTTCTAGAATGTTTCTGGTTTCTATTGATTATACTTTCATATGTTTATTTTTTGGTCTAATTTGTTCCTGTATTTTTTGTATGTGTTCTTAATGAAAATGGTTTTATAGACAAATGATAAGAACATCATAGGCTGATAATGAGAAATAACAATGTTTTGAAAGAAATTATCCCAGGAAGACAACTGATTACCCAGGAGGCAGTCTATATTATTAGGTGCCAGTGGCCTGAAAGTACCACATTCAGTACTTTACTGCACACACATAAAATAAAAAGATCTTAATTTAGTCAATGGTAACACACATCATCCTCATCCTTGTGTGCCACTGTGTATCACATAGGGCTCAGAGTCTATTCTTCCATTCCATTCTATCACACACACACACACATTGTAATTGTAACTGATTCAGAAAGCATGCTGAGGAAGATCAGAACAGGTATGCTTCGTGCAGAGTGGCGTGCTTCGCTGTGGAGGACACGAGTGAGGAGTATTGTCTGGATTTTTTCACAGGGTGACGCCGGTGTGTTGGGAAATGAACAGGCGGACAGACTGGCTGGCTCTGCACAACTTGGTGGAATACTGCTACATGATAGGGCAGACGTGGTTAGTGCCTTGTGGGAGAGCGTGTACAATGCGGAGGAGCAGATGGATCACCACAGTCTGGTGAGAATGATGCAGTTGGGGTTGACGAGAAATTCTGGCAGAAGCTCAAGGCTCAGAGGAAAGGCAAGACGGACGTTTAATCAGAAAGCTACTGGCACCATTAGTATCGGAACTCTTCGCTGGCTGCTGAAGATTGGGACGGAGCGCTTATGGGAATGCCCCGAGTGCTGTGATGTCGGTTCTTGAATCAAATCAAATCAAATCAAATCATTCCATTCTATCCTGTGCAATGGTTTCACCATCTTGGATGGAATCCAGTTCAGCTCCAATCATTCAACCTCTCTTGTATCCACATCCACCTTACAGTTTCCTTTGGATATACCTGCCTCCTCATTCCCCACATTTAAGTGTCTGGAGATTCTCTGTTGGTTTCTCCTCAGGATGTGCCCAATATAGAGCCATCTAGTTCTCTTAAAATTGTTGACACCAGCGATTGTCCAAATATTGATCATATTTCTTCATCTTTCTTGAATTCATTCCATTCCTTAGGCATTTGTGTTTTTTAATGCATTCAACTTTTGTTCCGTGTTTTTCGGGGTTCTCCAACTTTTGCTGATATATATTAATATTGAAATAACATTGAAATGAAAATTTGTATCTTGGTTTTAAAACTACACTGAAAAAAAAAAAAGTAAAGCACAGTTATCCGGTCACACACTTTTACAAGTTTTTAAGTGAAATTTTGTACCAGGGTATGTAAAAATAAGACTCAAATTCTGTTTACATGCTAAATAGAAATGTTAGTGTGAACTTTGCAAGTTTTTGTCATCTTTACAACACAGTGACCAGTTAGAATAACTTATGATGCACTGTAATAATGCTGGCTGCTTTCAATATTCCTAGAATCAATCCTGGCTTCCAGTCTAGGGTTCCACATTCTAGCTAGAATCATGGCTTCATGAGACCTTATTGTACACATGGACAGCTACTAACTTAGGAAGAAAAACAACTGTCTGCAATTAACAATGCAGAACGGCGCTCAAGTTCCGATGTGAATTCTACCAGTTTATTCATCCCGATTCTTACACTCTATTCAATCAGTGTTTCTTCTATCGCAGCCATCGCTTCTCACTTTCACAATAATCCTTTAATCATTTACACAATGTTTAGTACACTTCAATTAAACCACACTGACTACTTTACAACTGTCTTCTTCAACCTCTGGTACACAACTGACCAAGAACCAACCCCGGGTCTTCTCTCATTGATCTCTCCAGCCCCTGGTTTACCGTGCTGTCATCTCTTGCCCGGGTCTTCTCTCATTGATCTCTCCAGCCCCTGGTTTACCGTGCTGTCATCTCTTGCCCGGGTCTTCTCTCATTGATCTCTCCAGCCCCTGGTTTACCGTGCTGTCATCTCTTGCCCGGGTCTTCTCTCATTGATCTCTCCAGCCCCTGGTTTACCGTGCTGTCATCTCTTGCCCGGGTCTTCTCTCATTCATCTCTCCAGCCCCTGGTTTACCGTGCTGTCATCTCTTGCCCGGGTTTTCTCTCATTCATCTCTCCAGCCCCTGGTTTACCGTGCTGTCATCTCTTGCCCGGGTCTTCTCTCATTCATCTCTCCAGCCCCTGGTTTACCGTGCTGTCATCTCTTGCCCCGGGTCTTCTCTCATTGATCTCTCCAGCCCCTGGTTTACCGTGCTGTCATCTCTTGCCCGGGTCTTCTCTCATTCATCTCTCCAGCCCCTGGTTTACCGTGCTGTCATCTCTTGCCCGGGTTTTCTCTCATTCATCTCTCCAGCCCCTGGTTTACCGTGCTGTCATCTCTTGCCCGGGTCTTCTCTCATTCATCTCTCCAGCCCCTGGTTTACCGTGCTGTCATCTCTCTTGCCCGGGTCTTCTCTCATTGATCTCTCCAGCCCCTGGTTTACCGTGCTGTCATCTCTTGCCCGGGTTTTCTCTCATTGATCTCTCCAGCCCCTGGTTTACCGTGCTGTCATCTCTTGCCCGGGTCTTCTCTCATTGATCTCTCCAGCCCCTGGTTTACCGTGCTGTCATCTCTTGCCCGGGTCTTCTCTCATTCATCTCTCCAGCCCCTGGTTTACCGTGCTGTCATCTCTTGCCCGGGTCTTCTCTTATTGATCTCTCCAGCCCCTGGTTTTACCGTGCTGTCATCTCTTGCCCGGGTCTTCTCTCATTGATCTCTCCAGCCCCTGGTTTACCGTGCTGTCATCTCTTGCCCGGGTCTTCTCTCATTGATCTCTCCAGCCCCTGGTTTACCGTGCTGTCATCTCTTGCCCGGGTCTTCTCTCATTGATCTCTCCAGCCCCTGGTTTACCGTGCTGTCATCTCTTGCCTGGGTCTTCTCTCATTGATCTCTCCAGCCCCTGGTTTACAGTGCTGTCATCTCTTGCCCGGGTCTTCACTCATTGATCTCTCCAGCCCCTGGTTTACCGTGCTGTCATCTCTTGCCCGGGTCTTCTCTCATTGATCTCTCCAGCCCCTGGTTTACCGTGCTGTCATCTCTTGCCCGGGTCTTCTCTCATTGATCTCTCCAGCCCCTGGTTTACCGTGCTGTCATCTCTTGCCCGGGTCTTCTCTCATTGATCTCTCCAGCCCCTGGTTTACCGTGCTGTCATCTCTTGCCCGGGTCTTCTCTCATTGATCTCTCCAGCCCCTGGTTTACCGTGCTGTCATCTCTTGCCCGGGTCTTCTCTCATTCATCTCTCCAGCCCCTGTTTTACCGTGCTGTCATCTCTTGCCCGGGTCTTCTCTCATTCATCTCTCCAGCCCCTGGTTTACCGTGCTGTCATCTCTTGCCCGGGTCTTCTCTCATTGATCTCTCCAGCCCCTGGTTTACCGTGCTGTCATCTCTTGCCCGGGTTTTCTCTCATTGATCTCTCCAGCCCCTGTTTTACCGTGCTGTCATCTCTTGCCCGGGTCTTCTCTCATTGATCTCTCCAGTCCCTGTTTTACCGTGCTGTCATCTCTTGCCCGGGTCTTCTCTCATTGATCTCTCCAGCCCCTGGTTTACCGTGCTGTCATCTCTTGACCGGGTCTTCTGTCATTGATCTCTCCAGCCCCTGGTTTACCGTGCTGTCATCTCTTGCCCGGGTCTTCTCTCATTGATCTCTCCAGCCCCTGTTTTACCGTGCTGTCATCTCTTGCCCGGGTCTTCTCTCATTGATCTCTCCAGCCCCTGTTTTACCGTGCTGTCATCTCTTGCCCGGGTCTTCTCTCATTGATCTCTCCAGCCCCTGGTTTACCGTGCTGTCATCTCTTGCCCGGGTCTTCTCTCATTGATCTCTCCAGCCCCTGTTTTACCGTGCTGTCATCTCTTGCCCGGGTCTTCTCTCATTGATCTCTCCAGCCCCTGTTTTACCGTGCTGTCATCTCTTGCCCGGGTCTTCTCTCATTGATCTCTCCAGCCCCTGGTTTACCGTGCTGTCATCTCTTGCCCGGGTCTTCTGTCATTGATCTCTCCAGCCCCTGGTTTACCGTGCTGTCATCTCTTGCCCGGGTCTTCTCTCATTGATCTCTCCAGCCCCTGTTTTACCGTGCTGTCATCTCTTGCCCGGGTCTTCTCTCATTCATCTCTCCAGCCCCTGTTTTACTGTGCTGTCATCTCTTGCCCGGGTCTTCTCTCATTGATCTCTCCAGCCCCTGGTTTACCGTGCTGTCATCTCTTGCCCGGGTCTTCTCTCATTGATCTCTCCAGCCCCTGGTTTACCGTGCTGTCATCTCTTGCCCGGGTCTTCTCTCATTGATCTCTCCAGCCCCTGGTTTACCGTGCTGTCATCTCTTGCCCGGGTTTTCTGTCCGGCCTGCAGTGATCATGAGCCACCATACAAAGCACAGTCATCACATTCCCTCCCTCCACGCTCTCTTAACAAAATGGCACTTTATGGCACATTAAGTGACATTTTTATTTTTAAACGAATATAGCACTCAACCATTACATTACTAGGGATTATGAATCATGGTTACCCTTCAGCACCTGCCTTGCCTTTGAAGTGTTTACTGAAAGCTTTTTAAGTACTGAGTTTGTCAGATTTTATACCATCTTTTGCACATATTGCATCTGTAGAAATGTCTAGTCACTTTATCTAATCTATCAGGTTATAAGCAAAATAATGTTGAATGAGTCAGCTCTGAGATATTTACTCCACAGAAAATTGGGTTAATCCATTGTTTCTATATCAGCTTTTACAAGGTATTGAGAGTTCCGTATTTTGTTTAGGCTTTTAAAGGCTGCTGTTGACTTACCAATGTGTATCAAAACTGCTTTATTTGTGCTATTAAAGGCTTAAGTCGAGAGGATCAACTTCATTGCACCGCGTTTTATCCCTCATGACTTGATCTCTCTCTACAGAACAGCTAGCTGCCTGCTTACACAAAGTACGAACACCATAGCTCTGATGACAACCCCATAGGGTTCTCCATAACAACTGCACTTATTAACCGAATGATGCAGCCATTAAACTTACCTTAAACTTCACAGCGTGAGGCAAATGGATCCCCATTACTGCTTAAGTAAGTAAATGAGCAGTTTAAATTTTTTTTTTTTTTTTTTTTTTTTTTTTTTGGTTTTTTTTTTTTTTGGGTCTTCCCTGTGACCTCTCCTTGATCAGTTACCCATGTCTTTAATATATTTGTCTTTTCTTAACTGATTTGTAATCCGACTTTTGATGTTATATTTGCTAAATCGTCTGTTTTTCTTTACATGCCATTGCTATGCTTACTTACCAGAAAAATGCTAATTCTTTCTTAAAGTCAATAATACAACAAAATGGAACTCACAGACAATGTAATGTAGAATATTAAAATTACTCACTGCATAGTAGCACTCGATTTGGGGAATTGTGCCGTATGCACCTTTCACAGCAGTAAAGACATCGCTCAACTTTTAGAGAAATAAAGATGCACAGAATAATACAGTGAATTCGGAGAGGGACGAATTGATCTATAGTAGACTTTCACAAAACACTCAACAAAAATGAAATTAATTAGAAACATTCTTACAAAAAATGTGAATGTCACAAACAGATAAAAGATCACAGAGCCTTGCAGCTCACTGTCTCCATTCTCACTTGGATTTCTTCTCCAATAACTCTGGCATGGTTAGAGATGAGCACAGTCAGCATTTTCACCAGGACATTGCTACAATGGAAAAACAATACCAAGGAAACTGAACCAGTTCCATGCTGGCTGACTACTGCTGGACACTTGTCAGAGATGATCCTCAGCGGCTACACAGATGTCAGGGAATGCAATGTAGGTAGTAGAAATGGTCTTGTTAAGATCTGTACCATGTGTTCATCGTAGTGCTCTATACTTCTTATTCATTACTTGCTCAGTGACCGTCAAAGCAATTAGTGATGAACTCAACAAGTGATGCTGTTTTGTGACTTTGGGGGAGCAGGGGAACATAATACTATCTGTGTAATTTAAAACACATTACTCTGTTAGATATAAATATTTTGTTCTTCAGATTTCTCAAAAACTATAGACAATTTTAATGAGAATAACTCAGGCAAATAGTAATGTGGTTTCTCTCTTAATGGCACCCCACCTTAAGACGTGCAGTCCTACACCTGTTTAGGCAGTAATGTAGATAAAGATGGGGGAACTGATAGAGATATTCAAATAAGAATACAAAAGGCAAGAGGAGCTATTATAGCACTAGCGAATTTGTGGAGGTCAAAAGAAATTAATACTAATCTTAAAATTTTTAATTCTAGTGTCAAATCAGTATTTTTTTATGGGGCCGAAACATGGAGAACAACTAAGGCAATTACTAATAAATTTACAGACATTTATTAACTGAATACAGGAAATTAAATGGTATGATAGAATAAATAATGTAGAACTTTGGGAGAGTACTAAGCAAGCTCCAGTGGACCAAGAGGTGAGGAAAAGACGCTGGCATTGGATAGGACACACACTGAGAAAACTGGAGGACAGCATAACTAGAATGTCTTTGCATTTGAACCCATAGGGGCATAGGAATAAAGGAAGGCTAAAAAATACATGGAGAAGAGAGCTGGAGAATGAAGCTGGAAGGATGGGGAGGACATGTGGAGAGCTCCATGTTATAGCGAAGGATAGAACAATTTGGTGTGAGTTGGTTGAGGGCCTATGCTTCACTGAGAGATAGAAAGGCAGAAGAAGAAAAAGAAGATAGCCATTTTTGCTTTTTCATTGTGATATTTAGGCTCAGCCCCTTGAAATCTGTAAGAAATGGCTTGTGTGATCTTGGTGCCGCGACTTTCATCAAATTGCATTGCCCAGAGTAATCAGAAGTTATTATTTCATTTACATTAATTATAACCAGATGCAGTTCTTTCTAAGAATCCCATCAGTAGTCCATGTGTCCGGCTATACAAACCACTCAGACGCTTACACAGTATTAATTTTAAAACAAATGTGACTGAACTACTCACATGATAAAGTTTGTCACCAGTAGGAACAATGCCGGCCCCACTGAGTGTGCTGTGAATTTATTAGATGAAATGTTTTTAACACTATGTATTATTCTCTCATTGCAACATAAAAATACAAAATTATCTCCCTCTACAGGAGTAAGAAACACATATACAAGATCACAGCTTCTTAAGGTTTGATGTCAGCACATTTCCTTTTTTGGTTTTACTGACAATAACTAAATCAAATATGTCCACTAGTCACCATTATTAGGACATCCAAACTTAACTATGAACGCAAAGAAACAGATAATAAACAGCATATTGATTCCAACATTAAGCTACCAGTGCTAAACATGGACATTATCTAAGGCTCATTTATGCAAAATCACCACTTGTGAGATGAGATACCTGAGAAAAGCAGCCAACCTAACTATCCGAGATCAAGTAAACAATGATACTATTAGACATATTGTGGGAACGACACCTTGTACTGGATTTATTTAGAAGCAGCAGATGAAGTGGTCTGGAAATCTCATAAGGATGAAGCAAGATCAAATACCGTCACAAGCACTACATCTCAGAAGATCAGCTACAAGATCAAGAGAACGACCATGATAAAGATGGATTGATGACATTAAAGACTCTTTACACCTTCATGGTATAACAACAGCCAGTGCCAGCCAGCGTGCTCTGGATCGCAGATTATTCCACCCGACGACGCTTAATGGCAGAAGTGGTTTATGATGATAATGATTTAAATGTCCATTACCTATTTTATAACTCAGTGCAAATTCACAACCTGAATTTATCTTAATAAGAAAGATATACCCTGTTCAGCCATCCTGAGCTATAAGCCATCTTTATCACATAGATGTGAGGGATTAGACTTCTCTATTTCATAAAAAGTGCGCTATATATTCTACTTATTTCTGTTATTGTCCAAATAGTTGCACATTCAATGAAATTCCTAGTTCACTACTTTTAAATCTCACTGGTCATTATCATCATAAACCACTTCTGCAGTTAAGCGTCGTTGCTGGCACCTGTCTGAATCATTCACTTAATTTAAATATCCAGGAAGTACATTCTCGAAAGACAGAGAATAGACTGGAAATTATAAACAAGATGCCAACAGGCAAGTGCATTTATGTTTGAACTGACACCATTATTATGAAAACCAAACATAAGCATATGGACAAGAAACAGATTATGAACAGCAGATGCATGCCAAGACTGAATGAACGAGCAGACTGGCTTGCTGGCAGAGCACAGTAGGTATAGGAAAATATATGGGCAGGACCAACATTCTCAATGCTCTCAAGCAGGCAGGGTGACAGGATGACTAAGGAGACGACGGTGAGTCGGCAACACTCAAAAGACTACAAAAACTTCAGTTCAAAAAAGGTGTCACCAAACATGAACACTATACAGGGTAGTCAATGAAGAATAGTAAACCAACATAGAAGTGGTTCTTTCAGTCACCACATGGTGGAGGATATAATGAAGATGGGATCTGAGCCCTTATAGACTTGTCCGATGTGCAATGAGGATAATCTGTCGATTAATTAACTAACTAACCAAGACTGTTACCGGTGTTCCCAGTGTTACCGGTGTTCCCAGTGCCAAGCTTAGACATTATCAAAGGCACCAGAAATAAGTTTTAAAAAAACAATTACACAAAGTAGCAAGCTTCAACAAATACAAGCCAAACAGAAAAATAAATATTATATGACAAAAATATAATGAAGCAATATATAGATGTTTGAAAAGAGCCAAAATAACTTCTCAGAGAGTCACTGATAACTAATAGTCAAGACAACTTCTCAAAGAGTTACTGATAATTATAACTATAGCTAACAGAAAGATTCAAGAACTGTTTAAAGTAAATAGAATTATTCAAGAAGTTAAATGTCAACAACAAAAACACAATCAAGAACAATCAAAGCTAAACAGAAACACTTAAAACAGTTTATAGGAAACATTCACAAATAATCACAGCTGAAAGAACCATTCTAGGAATATCTACAGAACTCCGAAGCACCCTTTTTGGTGAGACCAAATAATGAAGACTGTCTCCTTCTGATGTGTGTAATCAGTTGTCTTCCTGGGATAATTTCTTTTAAATCATTGATATTTTTCTTGTTATCAGCCTATGATGTTCCTATCATTTGTCTATAAAACCATTTTCATTTAGAACACATAAAAATAACGCAGGAACAGATTAGACGAAAACATAAACCTTTGAAAATATAGTTAACAGAAACCAGAAGCATTCTAGAAACGTTTAAACCAAAATTTGTGAAAGTCCATAAAAAAGAAAAATATGGAAACATAATTTTGTGAACATTATGAGCAAAAGAAAAATCAGAATGTGTTATGACAGTGCAAAGAATTGTTGAAAAACAACAACAGAATATTATTAACAGCTTTTTGTCATGACACAAACAGGTATCAGTTCATGAAAGTTTGAAACAAAAGGATGTGCTGGAATAATCACCCACATCAACTAATCAACAAGACTTTTTAATGAGGAGGTTTAAGCACTGTTTTTTTTATTATTATTATTAAAAGAAATGCAGAGAGTTCAGAAGACCCCCACAAAAAATGAGAAGCAACCTAAGGCAGAATACTTACTCATAAATATTCAGTGTATGGTAGAGCTTTAAGGTTGTGCTGAAATACTTCAGTTCACCGCTGATGGCTGGGAGGACATATGCACATGTTCCATGCTTGTTCCATTCATGTTCCCTAGCAAATCAGATCATATCAACAATCAAATTTACATTTATGTCCATATAATGGTTCTCAGAAACTTTTAGATCCCTTTTTTTTTTTAACATTTAAGCCTCATCACTAGCATCGTCTGTAATAAAAACATACATATCTTCTTTTCTGTTATTTTTCTGCTGCTAGTTCAAAACCACACCAACCACAAAGATCTTTTCCCTACTTTCCATGAATTCTCTAGGGCCCTCTATGTTCTTTCTGTTGACCTTCAAGATCTTTCTCTCTTCGAGATTATTTTATAACCACATGTTTGTCTTGTCCGTCCTATTGACAGGCAATTATGTTGATCTCTGTGGATCCTGATAATGCATTATTACTATCCATTCTTGATTGTCTTTTCAGAATGAATTCTTTCTACTGGAAGTTACAATAAAGTGTGTGTGTTACATAGAACTACCTTTAATACATAGTTGTGTCTCCAACACTGAAACAAACAGATAAAAAATGTTTTGAAAAAGGAAAAGATGTAAAGAAAACTTACCACACATTTTAAAAAAAGTATACACATTTTTAGACTCACTGTGAGTCATGCATGGCCTAGGTAGATGAACTCACCTAGTTAAATTTTTCTGTCCCAAAAATGCACCTGCTACCAGCCTAGCAAGCAAATATGGGATTGATTATTCTACTGCTCAAGAGAAAAATTCAACATTGGGTAAGGTAACAGCTACAAACAAGAGTGAGAAAATAACAGAAAGAGGTGGGGGAAAAAGTGATTCATGGCAGTTGTGCATCATGGGATGGAAAGATTCACATTTTCTGTTCAAGAAAGGGAACTTTGAAGAAGTACAATCACCTAAACCAACAAGGAAGGAGCTTGATAATGTCAAACACATGACACTAATTATTAAAAAGCACATTATTGCATCCAGCTAGTCCTAATAATTTAACAACTAAACTATTGTTTTGAACCATCGTTACTGATTGTATGCAACTGCTGATATCTGCTGCTAAATATTTCTGGGCTAAAGAAAACAATTATTTTCACAAGCAGTCGCCATGCAGTGTAGTAACGAATGAAAGAATGTTCAACTGACATCACTGCACTCTGAACATTCCCACATGTGCTCTGTCCCCTGCCTCAGTAGCCAATAAAGAGCTCCTCAACTGAGGGTACTAGCTGCAACCTCGGTAAAAGTCTGCCCATCTTTTTCACTGAGAACCATCCAGACCCTCTGCTCCCTTCTAGTCCCGTAGTCCCTCCAGTTTAATGCACAAACCACTTGAATTCATATTTACAACTTATTTAAAATTCCATTTTCGAAATTTATGAAGCAGACAATCTTGGCTAAAAAAGAAGAGTGACTCAAATAATTTTCAGCTCTCACCATAATTCTGTACGAGCACCAGATTTGTTGTAGTAGGGCCAGTAACTATCTAACTGTTCCTGTAAGACCTACAGAAGAAAAAATATCTGCTTTAGGTTTTTATAATCACAGGCAAGAGGAATTTTTTTCAAAAACACACCCAAAAAAACCCATTTATAACCAGAAGGTCAAGAAAGCAGAAAATTGTGTACAGACATGACTAACAATGCCATACAGCATGGACTTTAAGAAGAAGACAGAAAGCAGACAGATTGACCGGTTTTGCACTATTGGACAGTGAACTAATGCATGATAAAGCAGATCTGGTCAAGATCGTTTGGGAACACACTGACAAAACTGAGAAAAAAACTAACCACCATGGCCTGGAAATAGGCAGAGGGAATGACACAAAGGATTAGGCCTAGAGGAAACATAAGATGTGAAGCAAATCTTTTGCTTAATAAATCAATAATGCTCTTAGTAAAAATTTAAACTGGAAAATTTTGGTAAGAAGCAAATTTTAATTTCACACTTTAATAATAAAACAGTCACATAGTAGGAACTTGTATTCAGGTGTTTGTACCTGTAACAACATACTATGATTTGTAGAGTGAAGCTTACCAATGGCTTGTGATTTTAAGAGGAACATGGTCAACCTCTACACGTCAACCCTTTTATCTAACCACTGAAAGTCCAACTAGTTTCAGCTGGAACCCTAATACCTAAATCTGACTGTGATTTTGAATTTAGAGGCCTTCCTCTTTGTTCTTTTATGACCACAGTATTAATTTAATTGTATTTAATGTGCAGCTCTGTAGTTTGAACGTCAGTGAAATCGTTTCACAATGTAATCCTCAATGTTTATCCAGGTTTGATTCCCACAGTGGGTAGTTTAGAAACAGACTGTTCACACGGCTTTTAGACGTTAGTGACAAAGTGGAAGACGCTGAGGCCTCACCATGTAATATCCTCCCATACTTCACAGTGGATACATTGTAGCCAACGTTTGTTGTGAAGATGGCACCATTTTTATTTGATTTATTATTTAATGTAGTTTAATGAGTGCTGATTAGCTAATACTCAGAAGTTATTAGTTTTCTACTGGCACATGGTTGGTTTCAAATCCTCTGAAAGGTTGCGTTTTATACTTGTTTTGATGATAAGGTCACATGAGCCTCCGCACACATACAAAAAGGCAATGAGCGTAGCACCCATGAGGCCTGACATAGAGACATGTTGCAAATCTCTCATGTCTTTGTTAAAGCTCAGAAAGCAGGAAGAGTGAAAGACAAGTATTAGAACTCCTTATCTGCATAATAGGATGTAACCAGCGCATGATTTACCACAGGACACAAGGTCTTGCCTTATTTGATACTGACAACAGTTTAGATAAGAAGATACATCACAGCAATCAGAACATCCCCATAAGTGCTCCATCCCCACTTTCAGCAGCAAGCACAGAGTTCTAATTATGATGGTACCAGCAGCATTCTAACTGTACATCCATCTTGCCTTTCCTTTGAGTGTTCAGTCTCAGCCAGATCTCCTGGTCACTGCATCAATCTCTCCATACCGACTTGCCTTTCCTCTAAGTGTTCAGTATCAGCCAGATCCCATAGTCACTACACCAATCTCTCCACCATCTTGCCTTTCCACTGAGTGTTCAGTATCAGCCAGATCCCCTGTCACTGCACCAATCTCTTCACCATCCTGCCTTTCCTCTGAGTGTTCAGTATGAGTGTACTAAAACTCCATATCTGCAGGATATAACAGACTGTAACCAGGTCGTGATTTACCACAGGATCAATTTACTTATTTCCGTAGTAATATTGATAGTCAAGGAAACACAATAAAAGAAATTATGACACACATTGGCAAGGCGTCAGCAGCTTGTAAAGGCTTGAACAAAATATGGAAAGCTAAGTTATAGAACCAAGTTACCTATTTTTAAGTCTAAAGTTAAATGCATTTGAAAACAAAAGCCTGAGGAAAATGATGAAAATAAAATGGGATGAATTCAAAAGGAGTGAAGAAATAAGAGAAATGCCTGGGCAGCCGCTAGTATCAACAGTTACAAGACAGAGAAGATGGTGCTGCATTGGACACATCCTGAGAAGAGATGAACAGAGAATCACCAGACAGGCACTGAAATGGGAAATAAAGGACTGAGGAAGCCAGGACGTCCAAGAGAAACACTAAGGTGACACTGATGAGAGAAGCCAAAGTTGCTGGACTGGATTCCATCTATGATATCAAAATAATTGCACAGTATAGAACAGAAGACAGAAATAAACTGTGAGCCTATATGACATATTACCACAGGACAATGAATGAATGAATATTTGATACTGATGAATCAGCATTTCATGAGTGATGTGATCAATGTCAGATCAGCCATCCTTCCTTTTAAGAACATTTGATGGCAGACATTTTTAGACTAAGCTAAACTGTGAGCCCAGCTCAATTAAAAAAAACTAAAAAACTCTAATGGGGATCAAACATTTAACCCCTAGGTTGATGGGCAAGCACTAAAACATTGTTGTCCTCTGGAAACAAGCAAAGGAATCAGTAGAGAAACAAGATTATTACGGCCTGGAGAGAAGGAGGCACCCGGGTGTAACCAGAGGGTCTGGCCGGCTCACTACACTCAGAGGAAAGGCAAGACAGACATATAACCAGATTGTGACCGGTACCATCAGTATTGGAACTCTGCGCTGGCTGCTGAAGATGAGGATGGAGCATGCATGGGAATGCCCTGAGTGCTGTGATGTCACTTCTTGACTCAACTAAAACAATGCAGTCTTTGCATTCAGTCGTGTCTATGGAAGGTCTTGACACTAAACTACTAATGCACATATCATAAACAATATCAGCCAATAAGTTTGTCAACAGCGAGGACTGGCTGGTCAAGTGATTTCATGTGGGAGATCCAGATTTAATCATTGGTAAGCAATAGAGATATATTCTGTGGGGAGAGGGGAGGGGGGAGGGGCTCAAAAACAGATTCCTAACCTACACAATTCATGGCTTCTGCACTAGCCACATGACCATAAACACTCAGGTTCATGACCCTACAGGGGTCATGATAAATACGGGCAGCAAAGACATGTTTTTTTTTTTTTAAACAAAGGCAACTATAACAAACTGGATGGAACAACTGCAAGCAATAAAATCTGAAACAATTACCTCAATTTCCGTGTAATTGAAAGGCATGCTTTTGTTGCAGAACTCAGGCTGCTGAGAACCCTCTCTTGAGGGCCTGAAAAAAACAAGGAAAAGTAAGTAATATGTTTCAGACACATGTTTTAAAGAACATCTAACAGGTGCCTGTCAGACCAAAAATACTCCACCAATAACAGTTAATAACACTTGAAGATTTCCCATCATCCTTTTGTGTGAGATGATATGTCACTTGAGCAGTCTATTGTTCCATTCTGTTTTATCCTGTGAAATTGTTTCAACATCATCAATGGAATCAGATCTAGCATAAGTGGCCTCTCATCAATGTTTATCTTAGTTTCTTTTGGGTTAGTTTTATGGATCCTTATGCAAGACTACTGCCACACTTCTTCATCGTGTACCAGACAGTACCGACATGGTACCAAACAGAAGAAGCTATGCCTGATGCATGCTTTTCCAAGCTGTTGTGCTAAGTGTCAAGATAAAACAACAATAACATGTGTAATGTGCCATAGAAAAATGTATCTATTGGTGTGGTCATCGAAGTCCCAGACTTGCTGGCTGCTCCCTGCTAATCTCTGGAGGGTGTAGCCTGTGACGAATTGGAAGCTCGAAATACAGATGTTAGGTTAAGCAGTCATATGCAGGTTGTGACAATACACTGGGTGAGCTCAGGACAAGAGCATCATGTGTCAGCTCTGCATTTAGGGAAGCCTTCTTGGATAGCAAGGAATGCCCATGATCTCCCACTGCCTTTCCTTGAAGGTCAACCAGTCTATACTCAGTTGTCCTGGACAGATTCTCCAGAGGCAACACTAGGACAGACAAACAAAAATAAGAAGATGAATTCAGAACACAAAAAACAATCATATTGACTGTATAAAGGAAACAAAACAAGGGTTGGATTGAACCAAGGAAACAAGAAAATTTTGCATTAAAACTTGGCATTTTCAATAGCAAACCCCAAAAAACTGCCATTAAAAACTAAATGCGCCAGAATAGATATTTGATTAGAGACTGAAGAATAAATTGTTTCAGAATGAAAGAAAAATGTTTTATTTTTATTTTTAGTTTTATTTAAAAAAATCAAATAAAACAGTTCCACATTTGTTTTTGACAAAATTAGGAAAATACTGTTTCAGTTTTCCTTGATAAGCTACAAGAAAAGTGTTCACCCATCCCCTTACACCTCCCCTCCCCCATCCCCATAAGCGCTCTGTCCCCATCTTCAGCAGCCAGCAAAGAGTTCCGATACTAATGGTGAATGTTGTGATATCATATGCTAGGCCAACCTGCACCAAACGTCTACCATTAACTGTTGCTAAGAAACCCCAAGCAATTCTTTTGCCTCTTGACACTGAACCGTCTGTGTAAATGATCAAATCCTCTGAGCGAGCATTATCTTGAATTAACTGCTTGTGGCAGAGATCAGTGAAATCATTTTAAAATGCAACTAGGGTTCAAGTCATGTCATGGGTGATTTAGAAAAAGACACTTCTTATGGCTTTCATTTTTGATCCCCACCATGTAATATTCCCAAAGTCAGCAACTGGATACACTTCAGCCAGCCCCTATTGTGGAGGCAGCACAATTTTCAAACAAATAAAAAACCTTTATTTCAATCCATTCCCCATAGTAAACAATTGTCTTCAGATGGCACAATGTCTGCCTGGTGAGACAAGCAGCTTCACCTGATGCTGATACAGCCTAACTGGTCCTAAATCTGGTCTTATTTGTCTCATTTCAATTTATCTCTCTCTATTATTGTTCGGTATAATACTCTGAGTCTACAGTCAGTATCTATGGCTTAGGTGTTGCAAACGTGCTTCCTAATGCCAGGTTCAATCTCAGCTGCAAGTAATTTGGCAGGAGACCGCCTTGCTTTGGGTTTGACAGTGGCATTGAAAGCCAACTGTCCAGAAAGCAATGGCAAAATTACCATCGTCGTGTGCCCTGCTAACTGGCCTAGGCACTCATGCATCTCCACAGATCAAGATCCCTGGTTGTCTGGAACAGCTCTCTTGATGATATCCCTCAATGCAATCATTTCAGTCCATCCAGCATCATCTCTCTTGGTCTGCCTCTAGCCCCTTTTTCACGATGTTCTCCAATGTATCTCTTCTTATTTTGTGGCCAAAGAACAGTGTTTGTCTTTTCTTATCGTTGTATATAGAGATCTACTTTCATTATCTTCTTTCAAGCAATCGTTATTAGTTACTCTGGTCGTCCAAGATATTCGTAACATTCGTCTCAGAAACCACATCTCTGTTGCTTGCAAATTCTTCCTAATTTGTTCACTGACATTCCAAGATTCGCTGCCATACAGTAGAACAGGTTCTATGTAACATTTTAGCACCATCTTTCTGACATTAAATTAGAGCGATTTATTGCATAAGATATTTTTCATTTTCTGACATGCAGCTTTCGCTTGAACTATTCTGCTTTTAATCTCTGTCACATATTTTCCATCAGATGTTCACAGATATTTGAACTTATTGACTTGGTTAAGTCTTTTTCCTTCAATTAGGATATCACAACATGTAGTTATCTTCTTCTTTGATATAACCATTACTTCCGTTTTCTTAAAGACACAATACTGGACGCAAATTTGCACAACAACCAACAACAACAAAATGCTGGGGTTGGTTCTACAATGTCCTGTAAAGGATACGCAACTAACTTTTTTTTATTTTTAACTCTGCATGGGATAAAATGTCTAGCTACTTACCAGAGACCATGAATTGTCCAACCTTTAACATCAGGGGAGATGGCACATCCCTGGAAATGCAGATTATACAAAATTAATTAATTTGTTTAAACAGCAATTAGTTTAACATTTAGCAACTGCCAATGTGTTGTTTGTTGTGCAACTGTTGTTTTTTTTGTTTTTTTTATTGATCACCGGCTGTGAATTCCAGTGGAAGGTCCCGGTTAATCGTCCGCTTGGACTTCTGGCTTTCACCTGGACCTGATTTTTGCGTGTACAACCATTTTTCATTTCCCTGCCTCATGGGCAGCTGTACTCCGACTTCGAAGGAAGACGTCAGGCCTATTTCTAGGTTGACTGTGGTCATTGTTTTGTGTGGGTCGAGACGTTGCCTGATTTGTGTGGTGTCCACTTTGTCTCCTCCGCAGGTATTGCCCTCGGAGTACCCCTTTGGGGCAGCCCCCTGTGGAACAGTTAGCCCTCAAGGGAAGGCAGGGGCAGATCATGGGCATTCCCCGCCATCCAAGGAGGCTTCCATGCATGCAGAGCCGGCACATGGCGCTCTGGTTCTGGGCTCACCCAAGGAATCGTCACGTCCTGCACATGCCTGCTTAACCTCACAACCGTATCAGGCCTCCCGCTCGACAGGGGCTGCGCCCTCTGGAAGTCAGCGGGGAGCAGCCCGTGGGTTTTGGACTTTTGTGACCACACAGATAGGTACATTCTTTTTTCTTCGCACGTTAGATTTCTTTGACGAGCCGTTAGCCCGACAGAATTTTACATCCTGCATCAGGCATATCGTTATCAGTTTTGTCCCAACACTCGGGCGAGTGGGGTCTTTGGGTGTGGACATTCGGTCTTTTTCAGTTCAATTCAAATTTTGATGGTCAGATTTTGATCCGTATGATCTAGTTTTGTTGGACAATTAGGATGGTTGCTGTTGTGGTGTACCTCAGCGCGGTGTCGACGACACTGAGGGTTAACCGAGGATGTACATGAATGGCCAGCCTATGGATGGTTGCTGTTGTGGTGTACCTTAGCGCGGTGACGACGACACTGGGGGTTAACCGAGGATGTACAAGGATGGCCAGCCTATGGATGGTTGCTGTTGTGGTGTACCTCAGCGCGGTGACGACGACACTGAGGGTTAACAGAGGATGTGCAGTGAACAATGTTCTCTTTACTCCGCAGTCTTTTAACCAAGGGTTGTAATTTTGGCTGTACGTTTGGCAAACCTACTCATGTTCCTAATGAGTTTTGATAACATTTTTCACCCAAGCGTTTGGGGACGGGCTGATGAGAGCCACAAGGACACATCACCTCTGGGGGCCGCCGAACTCCAAGATCCCCTGACAGCTCTGTTAATGCTCATTTGAGACATTATCCGTCTTGCGTGAGGTTCCGTACAACCAGGATAGTTAAGGACTGGCGCCCGAGTGACGTACGGAGTATCTCCTTATACACATCATGTTGGACTTAACTTCCCCTCACGCCTGTGACATAAATCACCGCGCCACTTTGTTTTTGTTAATGTTGTAGCACTTTGATCCTCAGCTTTGCACAGTGTAGTCTTATTTGTAAATACTCATGTTTCTACTTTTTTTTTTCCAAAACAGTCATAGATACCATAAATCGTGACAAATGGTCGAGTTTTCAAGCCCTGACAAAATATTCAAAAACTAAGGGTCAAATTATATAGTGAGTATAAAACGATGGGTAGGTGCAGACCCAGCTCATAATTTTGAGGCTAAAAGTCAATTTCAGATATTTATATATAACTTGAAAAAACATAGAAAAGTTAGTTGGGTATCCTTTACATTGCAGAACGAACCACCACATTTTTTTGCTGTTGTTTGGCTGTTTTTTCTAAGCAAATTTATGTTCAGTAATTTGCCACTGCTTTCTGGGAAGTAAAGGTGGCTGACGCGATGATGACCATATCAACCACCAAGTGCTGATTGATCTATAAAATATATATCTCGCCCTATATGCCCAATACGCCTGAGGGTAGAGAAATGAGTCCTTTACTTTACTTTATACTGTAAACAGATAATGAAGTGGTTTGGCCATCTAGTAAGAATGCAGCTAGACCAAACTTGATATGAGAACTTCTACAGCAGACTATCTTGGCAGAGGGTAAGAAAGAACAAGGAAGAGATTGATAGATGATGGTGTAAACTGGATCCTGCATATTCTTCTTCGCATTCACCAGCTGTGAACTTTGGCGGAAAGTTTTAGTTGGTGGTCCACTTTGGATCTGTCTTATTTGTTTACAAACTGTTGTTTCCTTGTCTCTCAGGCAAATGGACTCTGATTCCAAAAAAAGCTCCCAGTTAGTTGACTCTTACAACATGCTTTTGAGTAGGAAGTGGGTCTATTCTTGTTTTCCCTACAAAGGGCCCTGGAACCCACACAAGGAGATCCTGCATACTGATAAATACATCCCACCATCTAAAAAGCAGAATGATTCAAGAACCGACATCACAGCACTCTGGGCCTTAAAAAAAGCACAAGACATGCGGAACATTAAGACACTGGGTAACAGTCTGGTAATAGTGTCAAATCAGTACTGTTATATGGAGCGGAAACCTGCAGAACAACTAAGGCAATTCCTAGTAAACTACAGACATTCGTTCTCTGGTGCCTGCGAAAAATTGAGGGAATTAAATGGTATGATAGAATTACTAATGTAGAGCTTTGGGAGAGAACTAAAGAAGTTCCAGTGAACCAAGAGGTGAAGAAAAGACACTGGCGTTGGACACATGATGAGAAAACTTGAGAACAATAAAACTAGAATATATTTGTACTGGAACCCACAAGGGCACAGAAGTAAAGGAAGACCAAAAACCCACAGAGAATGGAAGCTTTAAATTGAAGTTAAAAAGATGGGGAGGACATAGGAAGAGCTGCATGCTATAGTGAATTACAAAACGACTTGGTGTGAGTTGGTTGAGGGCCTATGCTCCATTGGGGGTTAGAAAGGCAAAAAAAGAAGAATAGTATCACAGCAAAAGAACAAGTGACTGCACAGATCAGAAGCCTTCTACTGAACATCGGTCAATTGGCTGACTCATCTATGACAATGATACTGAAAAGATGAGGGACAGACATTTAGTAGCAGCAGCAGTTAAATAAGCACTGTAAAGTATTTAAAACAATATATTTCTCACAACAAACAGAATCGGCTGCTGATACTGACCTGATCTCTAAAATAGACACAGGATGAGCCTGGCCAAAACTGTGCCAGCAGAAGAAATTCCCAGTTGTCATCTCTTGCAAGTTCTCCAGTGATTTTTGCTTGCACGCTGCAAATTTTCAATTTATACATGTTTACACATACATCCTGTTCATTATCAAATCACATTCTTGTTTTTCCATAAATCCCAGGCTTTGTGGTTCTGGGTCAATTTTACAGACAATATTTCTTCAATCCATGATTTTTTTTTAAATCCAGCAGTATTTTGACCAGTCTGCCTCTGCCCCTTCTGTCTCTGAACTTTTCAGTTGTTATGATGTTTTCCAATGTCTGTTTCTCATTACATGACACAAGAATATTGTTTGTCTGGTTTTTTTTACAGTGGCGTATAATGTTTTGTCTAATGGAAGATGAGTGACAAAGATAATATAAAAAATAAATAAGATGAAGCAAAAGCTGCATTTCAGAAGATGGAAAGTATCTTTTGCAAAAAGTCACCAGCACTGACAGCAATACAAAAAGCAGGATAACATCAAGAGAGGGACAAACAGCAGTCTCAGAGAGTGTACAACCAGATGGTTTATACAACGGATCAACATCATGGCACAAGGGTAGTAACCCATAAGCCATCTCCGTTCTTCTTCTAACTCGTCTGAGTCTGAAGAATCTGGGTGCAGTGCACGAACTCCGTAGCACCGGCGAGGCTTCTGAAATATTTTGGGTAGATTTTCAACTCCAAATTTTGCCTAGGCAATGCAGTACGGCTACTCTTTTTGATTTCCAACTGCTAAGGGATTTTTTTACGTGCTCAACAATACACATGGGCATCTGATCTTATTACACATAAATCAGGAGAAATTACTAGAAGTCCATGTGAAAAAATTCCAGCCTTTACTGGGGCCTGAACCCGGGACCTCCAGCACTCAAGGCAGACCCCATGCTTCGAGATCACTCAGCCCCCTGCCCACATTCAGAGTGAAAGTCCACTGCAGCCCACTTTTATTGTGGAGACAGCAACTGACTGACTGAATGACAAAGCACCTGACTGACTGACTGACTATGTTCTATTTTCACTAGCTTTTTTCAGGTAATCAGTACTGACCATTCAAGCAATCACTGTTGGTCATTCTGAGAATCCAAGGTATTTGCAACATCAGTCTCAGAAATCCATATATTGCTTCCAAGATCTTCCTAATTTGTTTGTCCCATTCCATTACTAACTTGGACAGTAAATATACAGTAAAACAGATTTGTTATAACATTTCAGCACAGAGGTCTCCATGGTCTGGTGATTAGGCTGTTTGCTTCCTGCTCTAAAGGCCACAGGTTGATTTCATAGATGTGTTACAGAGATCCCTGGGCATTATCATGCAGAACAGAGAGAGGACTTTGTGTTGTGCTCCAGGCAGGTGGTTAGCCATTCTATAGAGAAAAGCTGAACTATATGGGACAAAACCCAGTCCAAGGAAGTCGAACCTCTCAAGTTTTAACTTTCAACTTTAGAACTCTTTTTCTAACATTCAATGCTGATGATTTTTTGCATAAAATACTCTCTTCTGAAATTCAGCTTTTGTTTCATCTACTTTGTTAATCTCTCAAATATCTTTCATCCCTCCCCCCCCCCCTACCTTATTCTCTCATGTCATCTCCAAAATGGATGTTGGTTGTTATAGTCTCTGTCTCTCACCATGACTGTACATTTGCTCTCAATATCCTTTTGTTTTCCTCCCATGTATTTCGCTGTCCACGTTAGGCACATCTGCTTTCAACTTTATTACCAGTATAGATTCAAAAATATAATTACTGCTTTTAATGTAGCCTAAATATTTCTGCTGTCTCTCTCTCTTTTTTTAATTAAACTCTTTCCTTTTCTAGTTTCCCCTCAACTGCATTAAAGTTCTTCTTCATGTTGATCGTCTGTAAACTCTAGCAGAAACTCCTGATTGACTTTTTTCCCCACCAGGACATCACACAAGCAATAAACACCCGGTGACAAAAAGTGGCACCACACGGATGAGGATCACCCGTGGAGAGGTCCCAAAAACCCCCATCAGCCGTTAGGTCATATCTATGACTATGCCATATCTATGGCTAGGCCATATCTATGCCCCGGCTTTATTCAGGGCCCCCAGCAGAAGCCATGTGGGGCTTCAAAGAACGAAAAATTGCACCCCACGAGGGGATGATGGATAAGAGACTCCTGGTTATTTGTCTGCTCTTAAACTCTGGTCTTGTTTCTGGACTTGTGTACTGCATGCACATCCCTTTTTGGATTTGGCTTATTTGCATGCAGATTATTAGCCTCTTGCCTCTCAAACAGACGACATTCATATTTCAAAGGAAACGCTGATCTTATTAATGTTGGCCATGTTCCTAGTATAGAACCTGTTTCTAGGATGACCACAGAGAGGTGCAGACAGATCTTGATCAGCATCCTGGGGCACCAGCACATGTGACCAGGCACCTCTGCATCTCACAGTAAAATATGAAGCGCTTAACATTTCTGTACCAGACAGGAACTGTTGCAACTGAGTCTATACAAAGAAGTAGACTTTTAAAAACATTAACTTTTGGATGTGAATGAGTTAACATTGTTTTAGCTTCAGAGTTAAATTAACAATTGTGACAGAGTGGATTAATGTACCAACAGGATGGGAAAAACAAGAGTAAGGCATCTTGTACAGATGTCAGTCTTTAATTGAGGTTCCACACATAACTGCAGATGGGCCGCTTCATACATGCTCCTTTCCTCTGCCAATGGAAATCACATAACATTTCCTTCACTGTCACATTTTAAAAACTAATTAAAGTGTGTCAATCCCAGCAAAATCTTGAAGCCTGCATATGCAAAGTAAAAATGCATAAGGCAGTTGTCAGATGAGCCAATATCAACAGTCTCCCACACCAGAATTACAGCTCAATGTTGGTGCAAATAGACAACTGTGTTGCAAAATACATATGATACTGAATGTATTCCTGTAAAAAACGTGAAGCATTGGCACAACAAAAACAAAAAAAACATTTCACATGAAATCCACAGCTCAGTGTCATAACAAGCACTCAATAGAGCTGGGAAATAGAATATTTAGACTCTCGGTCCAGAAACGGGGACTTTACGTCAGCAAAACCTAGCTGGAAAGAGCATCAAAAGTCAGCCAGCCATCTGCCATTGTGGGCAGAAATCCATCTTGTACAGTTAGTTGCGTATCCTTTACAGAATGTTGCAGAACCAACCCCAACAGCCCCTGGTTGTGTGGTTTTTTTTAGGCAAAGTTACGTCCAGTAGTTTGCCATTTCTTTCTGGACGGTTGGCTTTCTTGATACTACTGTCGAAACCAACGCAAGGGTGCATGGCCACAGCTGGGATCGAACATCTTGTACAAAATAACCAATAAACAGAAATGGATTACCTGATGCTGAAATATTCAATTCTAAGAACAAAATAACAGACACTATTTACTGTTGAACTTTAGAACCACTTACATTAAAAAAATAAATAAACAAATACCCGGCACTGTAGCTAAAGCTTTTAATTTTTATGTTGTCTAGTGAGTCCTTCTATCTTTCAACCTCTTTCTATTAGTGCTGCGCTGATCAATACATTGTTTGTTTATTATATATATTTATACATATATATATATATATAAAACACTTACATTAAAGCAATGCAGCTTGATAAACACAAGAAAGCTATCGTTTTCATTATGCTCCTGTTTCAGTCAAACACGCCTGAAAATATATGCAAACACATATTTGTTTAAAAAAAATTAAAAATATTCCTTTCATTATTAGTTTTACCAGAGATTGTTGTTGAATGTTGAATTAAGAATCGATGTCATGGCACTCAGCACATCCTCATAAGCACTCTGTCCCCATCTTCAGCAGCAAGTGAGATATCCTATTCAATCCTTCATGGTTATAACTGGGATATATGGGTTTTTTCATCTTTTCTGATAATGGACATTAATGTCTGCTTCTTCCTCCTCGTGTGGGTTCCGGGGCCCTACTTTGGGAAAAACAAGAATAGACCCACTGCCTACCCAAAAGCATGTCGTAAGAGTCGACTAATTGGGAGCTTCCTTCAAAGTCGGAGTGCATCTGCCTGAAAGGCAAGGAACCAGCAGTCTGCACACAAATGAGTCAGATCTGTAAATTGGATGCACACGCAACACTCAAGTTTTGGAACAGGACTGCAGTCCAAAAGTGGACGAACAAAAAGAACTTTCCACCAGAGTTTACAGCTGGTGACCGCGAAGAAGAATGTCTGCGTCTTACCTTTGACTATTTAATACTGTATAGATTGTAACTGATTATAAATTTATAATAGATTATTAGAAAACAGATAACAAGTGCTACTTTTCAAATAATTATACTCCTATTGCGTTACCCATATCTGGATAATTTTGATTTGGTAATAATATTATTACTGTCTTTGCGATGTGTGTGTGTGTGGATATATATATATATATATATTTATATATATATACACACACAGAGAGAGATAGAGATTCCTGTATGGGCTCTTTTAGTCTTGTGATGTTCTGTTTCTGCACAGTCCATGGCAACAGCACTAGCCCTACAGCCCCCAAATCCTGAAACTTATAACTCCCCCCCCCCCCCCAACCAGTCTACACCACCCAAAAAAGTGGTAAATACAAACAACAGTAACAGTAGATGTTCTGCCTATTTCTTCCCTGAAGTTCTCTTGAACTAACATGTTTAAGCATGTTTTTTAATGTTGTAGTTCATACTGGCACTTAGTAATAGTAGGGGGTCTGTGGAGCTCAACCGTCTTCTGATTCACTTTTCAATATAGGCAAAAATACAAATATTATTCAATATAATTTTTCGCCGATCCTCCAAATAACGGTCCCGAATTAACGAGGCCGAAAATATACCCTAACAGGGCCTCAGTCACATGAAAATTGCGGACTTCTGGTGACTACCGCCACCGCCGAGAGTATCTCCGGAGCCGCTACGTGCGAAGTGGGGCTAAACTAGATGGCTGGGTCTCATGAGCAAATAAAATGAAGGAAGCTGCAGGAGATGCGGTAGCTGCTGCTCTTGAGTCTCAGCCATCTAGTTTAGCCCTGCTCTGTGCCACACGTATCAGTGCGGAAGATACTCTTGGCGGTGACAGTATTCTCCGGAAATCCGCAATTTAAGTCACCGGAAGTACGCAATTTACACGTGACTGAGGCCCTGTTAGGGTATATTTTCGGCCTCGATAATGTGGGACTGTTATTCGGATAGCTAATTTTTCAGTATATTAACTTCAACTATTTGAATCCCAATGAACATATCATATGCTAATTGGTTACTACCCAGCCTCCAATCAGTGCGTGACGCGTACTGGATTTTATTTTACCACTGGCCAGTATAACAATGCAAACCTGCAGTTCTGAATGGTATTTTCTGTTCTTTGTGTTTGATATTGCACATACTGACCATTAGACTTACTCTGAAACTTGGTTAAATGCATAAAATATGGCAAGTTTGTGAGTTTACCTAGTTATAAGTGTCTGTGTGAAAACTATATCCTATGAGCAGACTTCTTTGGGCATGCCAAAAATATTTATGACTTTAGAAGCCTCATATTTAAATAAAACATGTGTTTATCAGATGTATCTGAAGCCAGACAAAGAAAGTTATGAAGTAGATTCTTTGATGAGGAATAGCTCTGAAAAATACCTCACGCAATGTGTACAATGACAATGACAACCAAGTCAGCTGGTGCTAAACCTCCTAGGACTCAAAGAGCCAGTTAAGTTGAAATTCAAATATCTGAACTGTGAACATATTTTAGAACACAATCACAAATGCAGAATTCCCTTATTTAGTATACTTAAATTTACATATATGTAGAGACACCTGAAGAAAAATTATAATTAAAGAACTTTTGATTGATCACTTACTTTATTTAACTTTTAAGTTGCTTAATCCACAATAAGATAAAGGGGACAAGCCAGAAAGAAAGAAAATACACTTGCGACTTTGAAATAAATAGTCTGATATTGCTAAAACAACTGACACCTGCACAGTCACAATCAATAAACTTTAGGACATCTATAATATTGCATGTATCTCTTAAGTATGGGGAGAGAAATAAACTTACTAGACGCACCCTCAACAACTACAGAATAAACAAACGTCTATTTTCACAAGATTAATCAGCGCTATATTTGTCTTGGTCTCACACAGCTGGTAGCAGACAGAATGGTCTCCGCTTGAGTCATCCGATGGGGCTCGTGATGTCAAGTGCTGCATTCACTTCTGGCTGGCTGGCTACAGCAGTGTTTCCCAAACTGGGGGACTAAAACAATTTTTACTATTTCTAACTCAGACTAACTGTAAAGTTTCCTTTTCTCGTTACATGTTACTGAAAACTGTGGTATAAATGGAGTAATGCTAGATTGTATAAGAGCTACTTATAGAGAAAGGAAAATTGCCATCAGAACAAGAGCTGGCCTCACAGACTGGTTCCCGGTAAGATCAGAAGTAAGGAAAGAGTGTGTTCTTTCATCTTTACTTTTTATAATATTCATAGACAATATCAATAAACACGCATAACACCACCAGCTGTCGATAAACAGGAGGGCTTAAATGGGCTGCTCTTTGTCGACGATTAGTGCATATTCCACAGTAAACAGCTGCAAAACCACATACACCAACTATACGACAACTGCCTTAAACATCACATGGAGATCAATATTTAACTCAGAAGAAGAGGGGGGAAAACAGAAGTCATGAGAATAAGAAGAGAGCAACAAACCATCGACATAAAGATCAAAGTCTGAAACAAGTGCAAGAATTTAAATATTTGCGAAGCATCTTTACATATAATGGTAAAATAGAGAGATTGAAACAAGAACCCAACAAGCCAACAATGTCATGTACCAACTTGCTCCAATATTCAAACATCCTTCTATCCCAGTGGAGAGAACAGGAAAAATTATAAATATAAATAAGAACTGCACACGGGAGCATACACAGCAGGGGTCCACCGGTCATCAGTAGAGATCCTTCGTTGACAGCTGTTTCGGCCCTTTGCTTCCCTAAACAATCTTGGAAGGTGGGCCGACCTGGGTCATGCAGCCAGGCCCCTGCTGCACACTCGATAGAGACAAGACGATATAGTGACTTAACAGGTGCTGTGAGATCTGGTGTTATATTGTCGCTGCGGTAGCAAATTAGATTAGTTGACTACCTTCACGACTAGAGTGACAAGCTTATGGTTGGTTCATCGGACAGTTGTTAGACTTTAGCATTTGGCAGAGAGACGCTGGCAGACATTTATTGGACAAATTGGCTTTTAATGGATAAGGCGTTTTTTCCACTAGGGACTCGGACCAATGTACCGAGGACCATCCCCCACGACATTCCGTTGCATCCAGAGCCAGCTCGAAACTCTTTCAGCAGCTTCGTCCAGTTGTTTTAGTGACCCTTTACTCTCGTTTCCTTGCAAGCCCAGCTGCTTTAGCCCATTGTATGTAAAAGTGGAGATAGGACCTCATGCGCCTATCTCGACGGGGAGGATTTCTACTGTGTACGCTTAGTCTCTCCTCAGGCTGGCCACGAGATCCCCTTACTTCTCGAGATTGTACAAGTGATTTTCGTCCATTCGCGACTCATACGACACGGTCAGCTCAATCAGGATGAGCTGGCGTTTTTTCGCAGAGTGCAGAACTATGTCAGGTCTCAGGCCAGTCTTCCGGATTGACTCTGGGTACCTTTCGAAACCAGGCAGGTCGATAGCCAATAACCAGTCCCTCGCACAGTCAAGTATTGATGGAGCGTATGCGACCTTGTTGATTTTACCTTTATGAATATGCCCAGCCTTAAGGAAGCGCATGGGGATGACGGTAGGACTGGCTCTCAAGTTAGCCCTTATCCTGGCCACATCCGGCTGTATTTATATCTAGAGTTGGCCGTGTCCTGGCTTAGTCCACAATGTCCGAACCTCTTTTAGGACGTTATTGTGACGCCAAGTGTATCTTCCCTGGCCTAGGGCTTTTATGCAAGCAGACAATGCGTTCTCGAGCGTCTGCTTAGCTCTGCACAGAGGGGATGTCGGGTCGAAAGTCGTATGTCATTTCACCAGATTGACACCGGACGGTAACACATCGTATGCAGATCTAACGACAAAGCTCAGCAGCAGCGGGACCATTCGCCAGATCTTACCCCTTGGGAGTAAATGTGGCAAGGCGCTCTCGAGGCCGATCCACTGGCCTTGCCCTGCTGTGCGACTGTTTGGACACGAGTCTAGTTTTCGGTCCTTATCTGCTGTATTACCATGTCTCTGTGTTCTTTGGCTGTGGCTTTGGATCACCAACTGACTTTCCCGTGCCCTAGGCCACGTCGGTCGGTTTGTGTGTACCCCATGACTTCTTTCAATTTCAGTGCGTCTTGGGCAGATTCTATCGCATCTAGGACTTTCCATTTCTTCCCTGTCTTTAGGGTGGGTTGAACAGCTGCCACCCTGGGATCTAAAGACTCGGGAAGCAGCATCGCGAGTCATACCTTGCCGACTGTAAACTCTTCGGTTATTGACTTGAACGAAAGTACTAGCCTTGCCTGTTCACAATACAGAGCCACATCGGTTAGACCAGGTGGTGCCCCAAGCGATTTACTTATGGCTGTGTTGATTTTTTTCTCCATCGTTTCCACTGCAGAATGGTCACCTCGTACAGGAGCAGCGGCCAG